AGCAAATAATGTTATTCCATTTGAAATATGAGAAAATTCAGGCTGAGAGGTTAAAAAATTTGGTTAGGTCATATAGTTAGTAAGTTGTGGAGCAGGAATTTAAACCACCAAACTAAACTTTAATCATCATTTTGCTGCTATTTTCAAAGTCCATATGTAGATCATTGTATAAGGATGTAGTAATTACTAGAGTCTCTCCAATGTGAATCTAATTCAGGGAAAAAAAGAGAATCCTATTTATCTCTTTCTCTTTCTAACTCTAAAGATAATGTAGTTTAGCATTACCTCCTTCATGATAGACAATCTTCTTTTCTCAAGATTCAAAGTTTCTGGTTTCTGCTTCTTCCATCTTCTTTTCAGAGCTTTTTCTTGGAGTTCCCAGTGTGCTAATGCTCTATTCTTCGACTTGTGTATTTCATGACGGCGGATCTATAGAGAAAGAAAAAAATATAAAGGAATGTTTCAGGAACAAAGAGGATGCCTATTCAGATGGTTGGATCACCTAGTCTAGTTCATCATTTTTAAATTTTTTCTGATCCAACATATGCATTTTATATATATTCACAGCCAAAATTTTCACAGTCCTCTAAATTTTCAAAAATGATCTTTAAAAAAAAGAAGTAACCAGAACTAATAGACCTAGCTAAAAGACATACTGAAAATAACATTAATTTCTACTTCCTGTGTATAAGACTATGGTGTTTTTCATATCACAGGTTGGGACTTATTTAATGGGTGGTAAAATCAATGGGGGTCAACAGGTCAAAACCAGCATTTTTTAAACATACATACGAACACACATACACACACACATTCGGACTGGGCACAACGTACAAGGTACAAAACACACTGAGTTATCTTTGGCAAAGACACTCTCATTTCGTGATAACCATATCACTACCAAGAGCAAATAATGCAATGTTTTTATAGGCCTTCAATGGCTTCATGTGAAAGTGGGTCACTGAAGATACAGAAATCCAGGGGAGTAGAGTTCCTGAAGCAGAAGAGGAGATATGAGCCAAAGGCCTCAAGAATTAGAGGGGAGAAGTACACTGAGGTGGCTAAGGAATAAAAGCAGATATTTGGTTCTACAAGTACTTTAGTATTCAGATCTATGAATAGGAACATATATTACCTAATAAAATGTACTACTGAGTTTTCACCACATAAATAAGAAATCAGTCCATTAAGAGATTAATAACCAAATATTATGTAAAGATACTGACTCAAAAAACAAAAGATGATGACATTTTTGAGATAATTGGGAAAATTAGAATATGGGCTGGGTATCAAGTAATATCAAAAAATTATTTTTACTTTTATTGAGTATGATAATGTCACTGTGGTTATGTTAAAAAAAGTCTGTAATTTTTTAAATGCAAATTGAATATATAGGTACAAAATGACGTGTTCTTTCAAATTTGCTTTAAAATATTTCAGTGAAGGAAGAAAAGAGTATGATAAATGAAGCAACTATGGCAAAATTTTAATAACAATTATATCTGGTAAACAGTACATGAGAGTTCTTTATATCTTTATCTCTACTTTCACTTGAGTTGGAAATTTTTCATTAAAAAAATGTTAAGTCAGTTGGAGGTCATTATTAGTCTCAATAAATATTTAATGAGCACCTACCAGGACTAAGACTTCTAGGTACACAAAGATGTGTAAGATACAGTCCCCATTTCTCAACAGCATTAACAATTTGCCCAAGGAGATTGGGCATATCCATATAAAGATAAATGATATGCATTATCTTGGAAGAAAACATAGAAGTAACTCTTTGTGAACTTTGTGTTAGAAAACAGTTTCTTAGATATGACACTAAAAATTCAAGTGACAAAAGGAAAAATAAATAAGTTGGACTTCATCAAAATAAAAAACTTTCATGCTTAAAGGACACCATCAAGAAAGTGAAAAGACAACTAAGAAAACAGGAGAAAAATTTGCAAATCATACCTGATAAAAAGCTTATATTCGGAATATATAAAGAACTCTTGTAACTCAATAATAGAAATACAAATAACTCAACTTAAAAATGACTAAG